TCAAAAAAATTGCGTGATAAAAACTCGAGATACAAGGAATAAACAAAGTCCGGTCTAATAAGAGTCGTCACCTACGCATGCGTCAGGTGGCCATAGCGCGTCATTGTTTACAAACCATCTACCCATAAGCCTTTGCGTACATAGTGCGTGTTGTTATCGCCTGGGACTCAATTCCCGCGTGTGCGACGTCCCTCCCGCTTCAAGTGATGTCCAGATACAACACAAGATCTCAGTATTAAACCAGTATAAACATCTTGTGCAAAATCTGTAATTATTCAATGACACTAATTTTACACAGACTCAGAACTATCCAGGATCATTTTAGATACCAGCAACGAATAAAGTTCGTCAGTGCTTAACAGAATTGCTGTCATCAGTGACAATTATGGACACCTGTCTATATATATATATAGCAATTTTATTATTGTTGATTTCATTTATTCGTTATTTCACAGTTGCAACATATTTAATCCCATTACAATTGATGTTCACCCTTTCTCTTATAAACATAGTTGAACTCTGGTGACCTTGCCCTTTGTTATATAATATTATTCCCATTATCATAGTTTGTATATGAATATGCATTGTCATAATTAATTTTGAATACAAACAAGTTTAGGGGTTGAAACAGTTGGAAAGCAGTTTACCGAATGTCCTTGATATATGTAAATATATTAAAAAACATTGGTGCCTACGTTTAGACGTGAAAAGATTCATAAATCATGCAAGATACCAGAAAATCTTAGCTGGCTTTTGCCCAAGTATTTTGTACAGGCATTTGTCAAAAATTAACGATTCACTGAGAAAAATAGGAACTGCTTTATTATATTCATTGTGTGAATACTGTATTTGAAAAGTAAAAAAAAAAAACACCCTCTATCATGTTACAAGCTTTGCTTTGTAATGCAAATCAGCTTAAATAGTTAGTTGGTGTTCAGTGGAGAGAGAAGTCAACAGTACTGCCTCCTGAGAATCTACATCTTCAAACAGTTTTTAAAGTAGTATGATAAAAGCTCTATTATTCTGTTCAAACAGCTGAAACCAATTGCTGTGAATTTTCATTTGTTGAATGAACAGTTTGTCAAATAAAGAATACCTATTTTTGAGTACAATTTTCTTTTCAAAATGTGGATTTAACGTTTTGCTTTTGCATGCATTTTTTATATATTGTTTTCGATTTGATAACTTTTGACTAAACAGAATTTCTATTAGCTTCAGATCCTAATCAAAGTTTGGCACCAAATTCATAGGAGTGCTTATCTTGTTTTCTGTAAAGATATTAGGTTTGCAAATATAAATCAGACTGTGCAAAAACTCTCCATGGTTCGGTTTTGAAACCCAGCCTAGTATTCTCATGAGATTTGGGAGATCATTACCAAGGATATTATTTTGCCAGTTGTTTGACAGCTTATGATAAAACATGTTCAGAAATGTTTTTCAATACTAGCCACAGTAAACTACACCCCCCTCCCCAGACAAGATTTTAATCAAAGCAAGCTTAGAAAGAACTCCCGTGTGCTGAGAGTTTTGGAGACACATTAAAAATTAATTCAAAATTACTTATACTTGAGATATTGATGGAATAGCTGAAAACTAATTATGCAAATAAGGTAACTAATATGAACAGATTTAAGTGTAAAACTAAAGGTCTGCACAATGTACCAAGTTTCATTGAAATGTGATTAGAAACAAAAAAATAATTATATTTATATAATAATTATTAATTATTATGCTAATTAGAGAATTAATATGAACAGATTTTAACCTAAAATTAATCAGGCTGTCTATTGTCCTAGAGCATTTATGTACCAAGTTTTATTCA